TTCAAGCCGGTGACAAAGGTAATGTTTAATGTCCAGAAATTGAAAGCCTTATAAATAAACCAAGTCGACTCGTTAAAAGGATTGAGAATTCAATGAATATGAACAATGCTGTTACAGAATATGACGAACCCGAAAGCGAATTGCTTACAGAAGATATAAATATTTTTCTCAAAGAATGTGATATTGAAGAAATTGAAAGTGTAAATCTGTTTGACAGCAGTTACGATGAAAATGCTATCGTATATTTTGCTGGATTTGTGGCACGACGAAGTATCGCAAAAAGCAATTGTGATCACTGTCGCAACGATATGATGAAAACTCCAATGGATAAATCGTCAGCAAATGAGAAATATATAGAATTTCGCGAATATGCAAATGAAGATGAAGATGCTCCGACAGCGACAAAATTAGTACGCCCAACAACTTTATTTACGAATATTACTAAAATACAGTTGATGACATTTAATCGTACGTAGGAATATTACTGGGCATCCACACAGATTCTTGATAAAATTGTGACTGAATCTATATACGCAACAGAAAAAACACATCCAGAATGGCTAGATAAAATGGAAAGTGTTATGATCATCGGATACAAGCGTTAAAATATATGATTACTATAAAATTATACTCTCGTACGAGATATAATAATCGTGCAGCAAAAATACCAGTTCATATACCTAATAGTAAATCTAATAGTAAAGTTAAAAAGTTTTTAAACAAATAAAAGATGTATTAATAAAGAAAGAAGAATAAAAAAGGGAGAAATGACGAAATATGGAACAAAAATAAAGCTAGAAGAAAAAAATCAATAATAATACAATTTAAAAATAAAACAGGGTATCGATCATACAACTATTTTCTATGACAAAAAGGTGAAATAAAAAATTTTCCCATTAATTTCAATGGCAAAATGTTCTATTTTACGTTTCTGCCTTAGAAAAAGGTTACATATCAATATCCAAAAAGATAAGCAAAAAAGAAAAAGAAAAATAAATGAAGTAACGTAGAACATGGTAAATATTATTTGGAAAAAATATTCAAATTTGTGTACTTATTCTTAATCTTCTCTTTATTATTTTATGTATCTTGCAGTTTTGTTATTGTGTAAAAAAATATTTACTGCTATTGTATCATGATATTACATTCATTATGAAAAATGTTTGCAAATGATGTTTTACTTTATCAGTCAGTATTATTTTATCGTAATGAGAAAAAGAAACATGAATTTTTCAATTTCTTAGAAGATTGCAATCATAGTTGAAATAATTACATAAATCGTTAACTAGCAGATCTCATC